CTTTCTGGGTTTGAAGAGGAGTGTAGGGACTTCATAGTCCTGTGTTGGCTTATCCCCGCTTGCCAGGGTATCTGCAGGTCATAGAATCGTAGAATCAGAATCGTCATAGCTGGAAGAGACCTTTAAGGTCATCGAGTCCAACTGTTATCTAACTCTACCGGGCCCACTGCTAACCCATGTCCCTCAGCACCATATCTAGACAGCTTTTAAACACATCCAAGGATGGTGATTCAACCACTTCCCTGGGCAGCCTCTTCCAGTCTTTGATAACCCTTCCAGTGCAGAATTTTTCCCTAATGTCTAACCTAAACCTCCCCTGGTGCAATGTGACACCATTTTGTCTTGTCCCATTGCCTGTTCCTTGGGAGCAGAGCCCGACCCCCCCTCGCTGCACCCTCCTGTCAGGGAGCTGTAGGGAGCGAGGAGGTCTCCCCTCAGCCTCCTCTTCTCCAGGCTGAACATCCCCAGGTCCCTCAGCCTCTCCTTATCAGAAGTGTGCTCCAGACCCCTCACAGCTCCGTTGCCCTTCTCTGGACATGCTCCAGCACCTCAATGTCTTTCTTGAGGGCAGCCAGCTGTTGGCCAGCTTTCAGGACTGGAGGACGCCAGGAGAGACTGGCACAGCCAGGGAGGAGACATCTCCAGCCAGGGCTTGCTTCTCCAGGCTGCAGCCCAATGCTGTGTAACAGGAGGCTGACATTTTGCTTTACACCTAAGGCAAGCAGCAATGGGGAGCAAACAACACTGGGCACCCCATAGTTTCAGGGCCAGGCAAAGCTCAGAGGCAGGGGAACAAGGCAGCCAGACCCTTCCCTGCCCCGGGGCAGGGCAAGATCAGCTCCACATCACCTCCAGCTCTTAGTGCACCACGCTGGAGAAACATTTAGCTGCTCTCTTCTATATAGGAGCAACCCCAATTTGGCAGAGCGCAAGTTCTGCTCCCCAGGGCTCAGGAAGGGGCAACATTGCTTCATCCCCATCCTACAGGAACACTAACTAACCCGATGCGGGAAAAGTCATCCCATCTGATTGACAACTACAGAACCGGAGGCAGATGCTGCCTCCATCTTCTACCTGCCCTTGAAGTCGTTAATCAAGGAGCAGAGGGTGAGCTCTCCCTTCCCCGGCCCCGGCTGTGCGAGGCCACAAAGGATGCTCTGAGCCTGGGTCGGTGGTCCACAGCAAACAAGCCAGTATTTGCTTTAGGAGAGCTCCTGCTCAGGAACCGTCAGCCCTCCCCAAAGTTGTGGAGGAAGTCGAGGGAAAACAGGGTATTAATCTGCCAAACACCCAGATGGTTCCTCAGCAGGCTCTGAGCACAAGGCTGGAGGCTTCCAGCAGGACTAAAACCATGGAGAAGTATTCCTGAGCCACATGTTACCTCTCCCTTCTGGGGAAGCTGCTTTGTGGGGCTCTGCACCATGGGGAGACAGGACAGTAGTTGAGTGGACATTCGTGCTTGAGGGCTGGCTCTTCTTGGCTTTGCTGCCTCCTAAAATTCTGCGACGAGCACTGGCTCTCATCCCTCCTCTTGAAGAGGACGAGATCCTGCCCCCGGGCTTCTGCCTTAGCCTCACGGAGCCACCGAAGGAAAACGATCTGCATAATTACTCTTATTACTGACAGCAATAAAAGCATCTCAATAGATAGCGTCTGTCAGCCAGGCACAGGCTCAGTGGGGCTTTGCTAATTACTGAAGTTTCCCATGCTGACAAAGAGATCCCAAGGGATGTGACAACCCGGGGGGCGGAAAAAAAACATATAGAGGAATTTCAGCACCACCCACCAGATCTCCTGGCCTAGAAGCACATTTGTAGCACCTTGCCGCAAGGTCCCCTGGGCACTGCAGGCACTCCCACACAAGCACAGAACCCGGTCCTACGCCTTGAAGAACATATCATACCATAGTAGGTACTTCTTGGAGACAGGAGTCCAATGTGAGCTGGGATTTAGGGAGCTCTGAGCAGAGAAGTAACCCTCCTTCCACAGTTCCCAGCATCTCTCCAGCACCTCCTGTCTCTGGTAGCCTCTTTCACTTGCACGGAGCATCTGCCACACATGTTATTGTTTCTGGGGGCGATGGGACTGGCGAGTTTGCTTTGCATCTCCAGCACAGCTCTGAGAAGCTGTCACACATCTCCTTCACCAGGTGTCCCTGAGCAAATCCCACCCTCCCACGCCAAACCTGCGCTATCTGTCAGGTTGCAACGAACGCTCTGACTGCGGCAAACTGGGGTGGATGTACAAAGAGCGGCACTCGGTGCAACCAGCTCGGGAACCTCACTTGAGAACTGCCTGAGAGCTAAAAGAATGTCTCAGCTTTAGGAATACTGACTTGGCTGAGACCAGACTTAACTGTGCAAACTTATTTTGCCACAGGCTAAAAGTCACCTGAGAAGTGCCAACCCACCAAGCAGACCTTCAAGCGGTCCTGAGTGCAGAACTCTTTCCAAACCAGTACGTGCTTGGCATGTAGACTTCAGAAACCCCTTCTGACACCTTCATCTGATGTTAAGGTGATGAATAGAGATGTGTTGTAGCACAGAACATCCCAAGTCACCTCCATTTCAGGATGGGATGGGATTTTTTCCACACCTAGACACACCTGCATGGGGAAATGGAGGAGTCTAGGCATGTAAAGTGTTGAAGGTCAGATTTTCATTGTAAATCATGATGCTTTTCCAACAAACACATTGTCTTCACACTCGTCTGTAAAGTTTGTAGCAACAGGTACACATGTACAGTCTACCCAGGGGACTGCCTATATATCTAACTAGGTCAGTTGAAGGGACACAAAATTTAAATCAACTAATTAATAGGCAAAGGGAAAATTGCAACTTATTCACATGGAAGGGCTTCCTGTTTGCTTAAGCAATGCTAAGGGCAGATTTGACCCAACTTCAGCAAAAACTAAACCAACATAACACGCACCTGATCCTGTGGAATCCACACTCACAACAACACCATTCACAGAGAACCGCTGCGCCGAGCGAGTCAATACAGACAGGCAGTAAAGCACGGAGAATGTCGCCCAATACCCTAAGCTGCTGTTTCGCTCTTAGCGCTTCTGTTTTATAACAACCGGTCTGTTGCTCTCCAAAAGAGCGAGGCAGCTGCTTTTTGTATGCGAGGCACAGGGAGTCTGACTCCGCGCAGGACAAATTAGCCAGGGCTCTCCAGAAGAGGTCGGGGAATATTGTCTGGTGCTCCGCACTCCACCTGCAACAACCAGCTTTTAAGATTGATTGATTAAATGTTTTGGTTTCACTTTAGCAATTAATCTCAGCAGCCTTTTGCTTATTTATATGCTTCAAAGCCGGAGACATAATCCCTTAATTATTCCCTTGCTCTCCTTCTCAATCCATGGTTTATTTAAAAATAACTGCAGCCTTGTCCCGACAGGCAGGGATGAATCCTGGCTTCACCTCCCAGGTAGCTCCACGTGGAGGTCACTCATCCCCAAGGCAGCGGAGAGTTTGATCTCTGTGGTCTACCCACGCAAATCACTTCTGCAAAGATGAACCATGGAGGAACTGAGATGTTTCAATAAAAACGAGATCCAGGTTTTCAAAGCAAGCCGTGGAGATCCTGGTCCTCGTGATTTACTCAGTATAAACCCTACAGTCCTAATATCCTAGATGAAGATCTAGCCCTCTGTGTTTTATCCTATAGATTCTCTATAGGCATATAGAATCATGCATATAGATTCTATGCATATAGAACCTTTGAGGCACTTTTTGTGCTTCTCTCTGAAATTTCAGTAGTTCTTTCAAGAGCATTATCCCAACCCGTGAGCTTCTCCGAGCGAGCACAAACCATTCTCCGTGAACATACCATTAACTGCCAAGAATTAAACAAAGCTCTGATAACTCATCAAGCTACAAAAAGCATTTGGAAGATATAGGTGCATTTTTATAACTCTACAAACTCAAAACAACCAAGACGTTCACAGCTGAGCTAAAGCATCCCAGTAGCACCTGGGTTAGGACATCATGCTTCCAAGGACCAACATTCAGGAATAGGGACAAAACAAGACATCTTCTCTTTCAAGCACGAGTAAATGCACAGCAAATGCATTCATGCAACAGAGAAAGCATCTCGTTCAGCCCCACAAGACACCTCGGCTGAACCGAGGCCGACAGAAGCATTTTAACATTGCACCTTTTTCCTGAGTTTTCCCCACTTACTCTTACAAGTGACTTAACGCTGACAGTGTTTCTCCGGCCTGACCTTGGTTTCATACCCTGCTAGTAATTTTACACCTATGTCGGGAGGCAGCGGGCAGTTCCTGCCCAATCCCACAAGCCCTCAAGTCCTGGCTACTTCACTCCTGATGTTGGGAAGTGTGGGCTGGAGATGGGCAGAGGGCAACATCGAGAAAAGGGTCTGTAGAAGACAATGGAGAAGCAGATAAGGGAGAGAGGCACGTAAGAGAGAAGTGGGCATTGGAGAGAGCCCGAGACTTGCATTCTCCACGTTACACCTCAAGCACAGCGTCACCTAGGAATAAAACTTCACACTGGAATGGAGAATCGCTATTTCTCCTTCTTCCGCTCAGCAACTCCCAGCAAAACAGGACTGCAGAAATCTCGCCCCTCTCTGATGGGATCTGCTTTAACAATCCCCCTAATCACCAACTATTTTTCACTTTGATTTGAGGTAAAGCTGGGACAGGGGAGGTACAGCTGCAGAGTGAATTAAGGTGGTTGGGACAAAGGGGAATAACGGTCAGTGACTGCTACAAGGCAGTGCTGGGTGGAGAACACCGTGCTGACAGCAGGGTCCCCCAAGGATGGACACAGAACGTACAGAACAAGGACAGACTCAGCCTTTCCCCTTTAACTGCTCATTTCTAAGCACTGAAACACACAGAGGTTTTGAAAGAAAACAAAAAAGTTGCAGAAGTTGTTTGCCAAGCAAGTTTTACATTATTCTGCATAGGAAGGGCTCTGTTTTTGAAGGACGCGGAGAGCGCGCACCACGCAGCACCCGGCGCTTACCTGTGTCATAGTGAACTACCAAAGACCTGGAATGATCCCCGGTTTTCAGCGGGTGGAACTCCACCGTTACTTGCATGGTGGCACCAATCCCAAGAGTCCCGATGGAGGGATCGACAGAGAAAGGGCTGCAACACAAAGATAATCAGGATTATTGGGGGAAATTCAGGGAATGTATTCCTTTTGCAGTCTACTTCACTTCAGCTCACTTGTGCAAGCAAGGAGCAAACAAACCACAGTCAGTAGAAGAGAAACACAACGTGCAGGGTCAGAGAGAGCTACTGCCTCCTGCTTCTGCAGACATCCAGCCCCGGGAAGATCCCATGGTATAAATTAACCTCGTCTCCCCCACACTCTGCATCCAGTTCTCTGCAGTGAGACTCAAGAGCCCGACTGCTAGCGACACCACCAGAGATTGGTTTTTGAAGAGCCCAGAGATGGGAACAGCTATTTGCATGCACAACGTGATGCTGATCTCCTCAGGAACCCTTTTCCAGCCACCCCTACACCTCAAGAGATGCAAGTGTCAAGGCAGTGAGATTACAGCCTAGAAATGGAACAGCTATTTGCATGCACAACGTGACACTGATCTCCTCAGGAACCCGTCTTTTCCGGCCACCTCTACACCTCAAGAGATGCAAATGTCAAGGCAGTGAGATTACAGCCTAGAAATCAGGCAGAGAATAAAAGTCTTTTTTTTTTGAAGACCAGAGAATAATTATGGTTTAATTTGCAGAATTCTTCTTTTTTTTACCTTGAAAACATCCTGGTTTAGCCTAAGAAAGGGCACATTTTATCAGCGTTTCAACAAAGATGCTCTAAGAAGAAAAGGAACAATCAGAAAAACCTGAGTGCAAACAACGCAGATTAGAGCGACACCAAGACATGGAAACAAGCCACAAAAGGAGTAGCCCGTTTACAGCCTGAACAATTAAATCCCTAGCTAAATGAAGCGCCGTTAACAGGAGGTTTTCCCTGCGATCACAAGCGACGCAATCTGGGACTCTGGCTTGTAATCCAAGCTTGGTAAGCATTTGCTTGGCCCACCAGGCTCAGGCTGTGCAATGCGTTGGAAATAATTCTGAAAATGTGTTGCTGTACTTTTGACTTCATATGAGCAGTTACGATTTGTTGCCAGGTAAACAGCTCTTGGCTGACAGAGACACAAAACTCGGTGCTTTAATGCTTCGGGACGAGTCAGCTGAAACACGCTTCTGCACAGCTCTCATACAGCCCCACTTCAAAAACAAAAGTTATCGGGTTTAGTGCTTCGCTGGTGATCAATTTGTCACCTTAAAAACATGTCCTGGGGAGTTTTACCAGGATTAGAGAATGCAACATGCACACAAAACCAATGAGAACTGGAGCCATGCGCAAGCTGAACTTTGTTCATCTAAGTAGTGACAGCTGATGACATTGCTGGAGTTTCTGCTCATTAGGGGGATATTGCCGCAATTAGGGGCCTGACCTGTTCCCATTACAACTTGGGAGAACATTGCTGCCGACTCTAATGGAGAAGCATCAGGCCAGCAACGTTTACATGCTGGACTTGAGGCTTTGGAGAAAGATGAGGAAAGACAAAGGCACCACCAGCCTCAGAACTGGATTGCTCTACGTGGTCCTGCATCCGCACTGACGGTCTCTGCTGGTGCTTGGGGTGGGGGGGATCATGGCCTGCTGGGGCAAAGGCACAGAAAGTGTTGGGGTTTTTACACATTTTTTTTCCCCCAGAAGTGTTAACTAGCAGCTTTTCTGTTCTGGCAAGGAAGGGGATTCCTGGCACCACCTTCAACACTACCTCCCATCCCCATCATCCTTCTACTCCTTCCCCATGTCTACATGACAGCTGGGATGGGAACAATACTGCTGGGGGTCACTTCAGGGGATGCCTGAGAAAGAAGAGATCTTTGTATTTTTAAATTATCAGAAGAAGAGGATCCAACCAAGCTCAGGACTCAGTTCTCGGGACTGAGAAACCAAGCACAAGTCAGACACTGCATCTCCTACACCCCAACCCCATGCAGTACCCACAAGCAAGAGCTCACTATCCCTCGCATTAACCTGTTCTCCAAGACCCAAAGATTAAACGGTGAAACTCCATGGTTAAACTCCTCTGAATCTCAGTCGACATCACTAAGATGTTCCCTGCAGCCTACAGATAAAAAGAGATGCTAAGGAGACATCCCTGACATGTCTAACACTCAAAGGAAAACCACTGCCAAGAGATGAAGGTGGCAGGCTAAACTTTGGCCTTTTATCCATTAATCGTGAGCTGTTCTTAAAGATAATTCTGGTCCTGTTAGATCTACCCTTTTAATGAATCACTACTGCTCCTGAAAGACAGAAAAAATAAGACTTGAAGGTGGTGGGGTTTTTTTAATAGCTTGTTTTCTTCTGACATGCTTTTTAACTATGTTCATTTGGAAGTTTGCTTTGTCGTATATCTAAACTTTCCCAGGTGCAGACATTCCACCAGCACCTTGCAATCCCCAGCTTGGATAAACTCATCTGACCACACCAACTTAGGAAAGACCTTCCCACCAGTACCTGCTGAGATCCTGCGTCTTACTGTCCTTTAGAAAGAGATCTACACTAGATTTATAAGCAATTTTCATAACGATATATTTTTTGGCATTTACATCTTGCTTACTTTCACCGGGCACCAGCTCCCCAACTCGACAGAGCTGGACAAAAGTTACATTCCATGAAGATCCCCAGGGCCAAACAGTCCTGAGGTAATTTAGAAACACCTGATGAGTGAACAACACTGGCGATTCTGTGACTCAGGTTCTCAAACCACCATGCCACCTTTTCTCCTGCAACCATATGTTTAGGAAACACAGCGTACAAGGAGACTACAGTACCCTTCCTTAAGTCCCACCCTGCATTTACCTTCTACAACTAAAATCCCTTAATTTACATTATAAAATCATTTGAGTTTGGGAGAATTGATTTCATTAAAAGCTACCTCCAAGGAAGGCTGTAAAAATCTACAGGTGATTGAATTGCCTTATCCATTCACTAAGACCTACTGCAGAAAAAAACTAAAAATCATTTAATCTCAGCATATATTACTTTCAGTAATGGTATAGCAGCCAAAGCGACACTATTCCAGTAAACCCAGTCTGTTAGGTCAAAGCATCCAAACGCCATCCCTGTGCTGAAAAATCCTGTGTACAGTCAGCATCTCGCGAGCTCTATCTTCCCTCTCTTTCGCTGCACCTCAGATCCATTTTCATACCCTCAGATGGTCTTTATACATCTCAGACTGGTGGGGGTTGGAAGGGCCCTCTGGAGCTCCCCCAGTGCCAAACCCACCAGAGCAGGGGCACCTCCAGCAGTGGCACAGGACGGCGTCCAGGCGGGTTTGGGATGGCTCCAGAGGGGGAGACTCCCCCACCTCTCTGGGCAGCCTGTGCCACTGCTCTGCCGCCCTCACAGCAGAGAAGGCCCTCCTCAGGTGGAGATGGAACTGCCTATGGTCACCTTTGTGCCCGTTCCCTCTTGTCCTGTCACTGGGCACCACTGGAAACAGACTGTTCCCATCCCCCCAGCACCTCCCTTGGAGGATTGATCAGCGTTGATGAGATCCCCCTCAGTCTTCTCTCCTCCAGACTAAAGCCCCAAGTCCCTCAGCGTTTCCTCACCAGAGAGATGCTCCAGTCCCCTCAGCACCTCCGTAGCCCTTTGCTGGACCCTCTCCAGCAGTTCCCTGTCCTTCTTGACCCGGGGAGCCCCGAACTGGACACAATGCTCCAGATGTGGCCTCCCCAGGGCAGAGCAGAGGGGGAGGATGACCTCCCTCGACCTACGGTAGCTCTTCAGTCCCAACACCTCCGTGTAGTATATTGGTACTACAGGGAGGGATGCAAGGGGGGCTGCGAGCACTGTGCCTTGTAGGATAATTTCCTGAGCTTTCCAAGCTTGGTGGGGACATTCCTGAACTGATCTTATCTCAGACGGATGCTCTCTAGCCCCACGGCACAGCACAATGTCTGTAATGTCAGAAAAAGGTAGTGCTGTGCCGAAATCTGCTCCCAGACACCGTTTTCAACTCAAATGTACTGGAATGACATTTATCTCCCTGAATGTCACGGAGAAGAAACTCATTATCCTGCCTTAACAACGATAACGACAGGAAGAGACTTTCTATATTTATACTATTATTATTTTTTATTCCCAAGCTATGCCGTTAAGAGCCAGGTACGGACACGCAGATGGAGGACAGGCACAAAGCCAGGCTGCGTAATGGGAAGAGCCTCGGCGGTTCCTTTCCTTTATGAATAAAATAGTCAAAATGTGGCTGTGTTTTCTGGTAGATACCATGGCAAGAGAGCGCTCCAAACAGGGAACAGCAGAAAGATGCTGAATTGGCCCCGTGGATTCACTTAAGAGCTCTTCCTTGGAGTGAAGCGCACAGCAGAAAACATCAAAGTCCTTTGGCAAGCGAGTACCAGGCAGGGAATGTCATCGTGAAGCAACCAGATGTAAGGGCTGAGCTCTCAGGATCGGAGACGAGCTGAAGCTGAAAGCAGGTAGGTGATGCTTGATGCCATAGAGAATGAATCCAGAGACAGGAGGCAAAGAAAAGCCGTCTGAGCAGCACATTGGACTAGGAAACGGCAGCATCTGCAGCTGGCTGGCAAGGGGGCGAGAGCCCAAATTCGCTCAGGCCAGAAAACAAGAGTTGTGGCAACTAAGGCAGAAGTTTCAATTTGGCAGATAGAGGATAAGGGACTTCGAGGGCAGGTGATGGTCTACGAGCTTAGACAGGTCTCTCATTCCCTTCCACCCCACTCATCCCCCTCCTTCTCAAACATGCACGCATGTGTGCTTGCGCGTATCAACACACCCCAAAGCCAGGATGCGGTAGTAAGACTGCCTTTAACATAACACCGCATCCTCACCCAGCGGAAGTTAAGCACACAGTCAACTGAAGCTGCTTAAATTCTCCACTAAATAAGACTAAAGCAGCCCTGAGGCTGGCACTCCTTTCTCCCAGCCCCTAGGCCAGAACTCCGGATTACCGTGTCTCACACCTACACTTTAAGCTCTCCAGGACGGGGAACACAACTCATTCATTTCACAGAATGGTTTGGGTTGGAAGTGACCTTGAAGATCACCTCGTTCCACCCCCCTGCCCTGGGCAGGGACACCTCCCACCAGCCCAGGTTGCTCCAAGCCCTGTCCAACCTGGCCTTGAACACCAGTTAACAAAGCACAGGTTTAAGTGTTCTGCGATAATAATTAATCATCAGGTTATTAGGGAAGTCATTCAAAACAATTAGTGACATTAAACTAAAGCTTCACCACCTCTTATTTATAACAATGCAGCCTCTGTAACAGGGAAATTAATCCCTAACACTTGTGGGAAAATGGCCTCTCTTGTGACAACCTCTGTAAATATATTTGTCCAAAGACAACTGCCAGCTAATAATCTACTAGCGCATGGAGCAGTGTGTTGGTCTGATTCTCAAGCCAACTTGTCGTGCCAATTGGGAGGTCAGTTCTTGTCTGCTGGGGCTGTTAGAGCCACAGGGCTCACCCAGGAGCTCAGTGGGAGGTATCTGAGCAACTTCTCGTAGCACCAGCAAGGAACCAACCTTTGATCGCTGCTATCAAGAGACTCGGTCATTCATGTGAAAGTTCACAGATATGGTAGAGGGTCCAGAGGCACTCAGATGGCAAGAAAAGAGTTGGTGCAATGCAGTGATGGTGTCCAGTCCCCAGCTGGAATAACCACTCCTGGCACACCATGGTCTCATCACACAGGGAGAGCATGGTTATTCAGGTCGCAGGATGCAAGGGGACATCCTGACCTGGTCAACAGCAGGGAACACCCAAAATTTGTTGGATGGTACCAAACTGGGGGGAGTAATCAACACACTGGAGGGATAGGCTGCTGTTGAGGGGACAACTGGAGACAGGAGATGGAGAAATTGGCTGATGTGAACTTCATGCAGTTCAGGGATGGACAACGCGAAATCCTGTATTTGGAATGGAATAAGCCCTGGCAGTACAGGCTGGGCACTGATGGAACAGAACATTTCTACAGAAGAGGACTTCAGGGGCTGGAGCACAGGAAATGCAGGGAGATGCTGAGATAAATGGGTTTGTACAGCCTTAAGGAGGAAAGATGAAGCGTGATCTTAGTGCTGCCTACAATTACATAAAGGGAAGATGTAGAGAAGATGGGGCCAGGCTCTTCTTTGAAACGTGCAGTGATACAATTTTCCAGTAATGGCAAATTTGAGTAGATATTAGGAAAAGAAATTTCACCAGAGGTTGAACACTAAAACAGGGACCCAGAGAAGTAAGGGAACCTTGAAGGCATCCAAAGCTCAACATAAACAGGCCCAGAGCAGCAAGTTGTGTTAGTTGCAAACCAGATCAAACTTTGACACTGGGTCTTGATTTGATCAAGGTGTTCGTTCAGATGATCTCCACAGGTCCCTTCCACCCAAAGTTACTCTATGATTTTAACTTCTAAATCAGCCCAATTCCATTTCATATATTCTCCAAATTTCTCTTATTCCCTACATTTACACATCTGTGCATATATGTATAGACAGGCACTAGAGGAACTCAACCTTTAAGAAAGTTCCCAGTGAAGAATTCATTATGACATTTTGCTGAACATTTAAAGCAGGAGGAAAAAAAAGAGTAGAAACACAGGAACTTCAGAGTATTTAAAAAGAAATCCAAATGAAAGTGGGGGCGACTTAATTAGAATAAAATCCTGCTTATATTCAAAGATTTAAATCATCCGTTTGAAATTTCAAACTGGCTTTCAAAAGTTCGTAATGAAATGGAAGAGATGACTGATGACCTCAGCTGACAAGGGAAATCACATCAGCTTTTGATGTCCGTACACATGCAATCCAGTTTTTCAGAATTCTACTTTTTTTTGGTGCAGTTTGAAATAAAAGCTCTGTAATGCTTCCCAATTCTGTATGGCAAAGCTGGCATATTTAATTGCTGAAGTTCAGAAACCCTTAACATCCATATCAAGCTAGATCCAAATACATGCTCTCTCACTCAACAGTACATTGCAAAAACATGCTAGACTTTCAGGGGGTATTTATTTGGATGGTGACACCTAGATCTGGAAATCCCAGAGGAACACTGTGCAGTGATTTACGAGTTCCTGCCTATGTATTTCCACAGTGAAAAGCAGCAGCCTGCTTAAACAGCATTCTAGAAGCCTGCTTAAATAGCTTTGCCAGGCTTTGGTGGAATCTCCTCTTGGACCCTCACATTTTACAGGAGAAAAGTAAAAAGTCTTCTTTTGAGCCCTGTTTTCCCAGGGAAGAAATGGAGGCAACTCCAGTGCACCATTCTGTGCTGCATTCTTGACCTCAGCTCCTACACCAAGAGCTCTGGGACCAAGTAACTCTCAATCGATTACCAGCCAAATGAACTGGTTTCCTTGCAGATGCGGCGTCAAAAAGGCATTGCCCTCTCCAGTTCAGCAAGCTGGAAAACCGGTCACTGCCTTCCGAGACCAAAAGGAGCAGTACAGGCTCTCCCCAACCCAATTCATATCAGGCATTCGATCTCATCGAGCACCGTACGCTTGTGATCCCCCAGAGAATGGGTGTATTTGGCTGACAGTGGTCAGTAACCATTTGAGAAAGTACTTACGGTCAAGAGGTGCATGCTAACTGCTAACATACTCCAGTACTCTCCAGAAAGAGAGAGTAGAAAGGGAGAGAGAACGCTCTAGAAGAAGAGACTCCCAACCCATGCACCAGATATTTGCCGCATCTTCTGCCTGCGCTCTCATTAACATTCTGGTTTGGGGCTTTAGTGGGTTCTGAAGCCTCTACTTAAGAGTTCATTCCACTTAAAAATACTTGGTCGCAGACCAAACCTACTGCAAAATAAAGTCCCTGGACCACACAGTGCTACTGGCAGGGCCTCAAAACCAATTCCTTTGATCTACGATCTCTGATTGCACTTGCTATATAGACACAGCTGCTGATAAGTTTTTAAACGTTTCTTTCACCAGTTCATAGCTGGCCACTTCCTAACACCGTGCTCTGTCTACCTGACCTGAGCTCCCAGCACAGCCGCCTGCCATGCGGTATGCCGTACAGCCCAAGGGCGGTCACCTTGCCCTCCTTTATTTGTCCTTTCCAACAGACAGAATCGGTCTTGTGAGATGCTGTGTCAGAGAAATGATTGCAGCATGAAACTTGCATCATGCTTAAAACACTAAGCAGCAAATCCCACATGTCCTGCCCATCTCCAGCTACGGCTGCAATACAGCAGCTCAGATGCTCCGGTTCCTTTTTATTACTGTTTACCAACAATATTACTGCACACCAGCGTTCCACACAAGCAGGACGTTGAGTTCCTTTACCTCTGAGTGCTGATGTGGTAGCGCGCCTCCCGATTACCGATGTTGCGAACCAGCAGAGTTTTCTGGGTGCTGTACTTGACCGGACAGACGGAGAAGTTCAGCTGGTCAGGGAAGTCCAGGATAGCTCGGGCACCTATAGCTCGGATTGGCACAATAAATTTTTCCCTTTCTGTGATGCAGGTGAGCTGGTGGAAGTAATCCTGCAGGGAAAGGAACAATCTCAGCGCAGCGCATTTAGTACCGTCCCCACGGCAGAAGGAAAACTGCTGTTTTCTGCGACTCTAACAGCAGCACTCAATAATGTAATAGTTCTTTTTACTTTAATGACCTTTCATTCCAGCAGCATGATTTGGACGGGGCTGTTAACTTGCAAAGAAGAAACAACCTCATTGATTCACCTGCTTTTGCAGCAAGCTGGCAGAACCAGACAAAATTACTTGACACTTTGATTCTGAGGCACCAAAACAGAGTAATTTCATGCAAGGGATTACAGCGGTAACCAGAACCCGCTTCGATCACCACTGCAAACAATTAAAGGCAGCACTAAGAACCCAGTTGTGCCACAGCACTAACTCCAATCCCAAGCAATGCAGCAACCTCCTTGAAGCTTGGCAGGGGATGCTCAGGTCCATTTTCAAAAGGACTTTGCCACATGCGTGGTCAGGGAAGTCTCTGGTGAACTACTTAACAAGCTGGACATGACAATTGTTTTAATGTCAGGTGAGTGTAGGGTGCACGCATATTTTCCATCCCTTTCCACAGCATTATAGGGACAAGGCTGGGGGGAACAGAGCCTTAAGAAACTGCCTGATCCACCACCCCACCCCAAAATTGGCTCAGCTCTTGACTCAAGCTATTCTGGAGAGATGTTTGACAAGTACTTAAAAGCACTAACAATTCCACCCCTGCCCCCAGCAGCCTATTCCAGCTCTACCCTAGACTTAGAGTTCCTCCTGTGTCTAATCTCCCTCTCCCTTTCCATCTCATCTCAGCCTCGGGGGACACAGGAGACAGCTTTGCTCCCTCTCTGCTGCACGGCCAATGCTGTAATTGCGTCTCTCTCGTAGGGTCCCCAGAATAAGTGACTTGGTGGCTTGTCAGCACGCCTACCTGAGGCAGGGGGCATCAGGAGACACTCAGACAGCCCCACCAGAGCCAGCTCTACTGTGCTATCCCCAGTCATTGGCTTGTTCAGAAGAGTCAGACAGTCCCCGTGTGTCAT